ATGTGTGAGACATGGAAAGCCAAGACAGGCATGGAGTTCAAGCTGGCATCTGAAATAAAGGACAACAAAAAGTTCTTCTATAATTACATAGGGAGCAAGAAAAAAATCAAGTTCCACTTTGGGACCCCTACTAAATTTGGGGGGGCAGCCCACAGTTGATCCCTGTGAAAAGGCAGAGCTCCTAAATGCTTACTTCACATCGGTGTTCCTGAAATCAGATGGGAGCTTCTCACCTGTCCAGAAGCCCAGCGACTATGGGGAAGACAACAGCCTGCATGAAATTAGTCCCAAAAAGGTGAGGGTACTCTTAGAATATTTGGACATGTTCAAGTCTGCTGGGCCAGATGACCTGCATCCAAAAGTCCTGAAAGAACTGACTGAGCTCATAGCAGGGCCTCTGACAAAGCTGTTTGAAGATTTGTGGAACTTGGGAGAGGTACTGAATGACTGGAAGAGGGCTAATGTGTACCCATCTTTAAGAAAGGGAAGAGGGATGACCCTGCAAACTTCAGACTGGTTAGTCTAACCTTGGTTCTGGGAAAAAGCTTTGAAAAAATTGTTAAGGAGGCCATCAACCACAAGCTTGTAACTAGTGGGGTATTAAGAAGCAACCAACGCAACTTTGTCAAGGTTAGGTCATGCCTAAAATATCTGGTATCCTTTTATCTGGTATCCTTTACCACGTAACTAACCAGCTGGACAAGGGGCATGAGACTGACATCATTTACCTAGACTTCAGCAAGGCCTTTGATACTGTTTCCCATGAGATCCTTTTAATTAAGCTGGAGGGTACTGGCCTAGACCAGTCTACAGTGAGGTGGGTTGGCAATTGGCTCCGAGGCCAATCCCGGAGAGTTGTAACTGATGGGATGGCCTCACCCTGGAGGGCCATCTCCAGTGGTGTCCCCCAGAGATCAGTGCTTGGGCCCATGCCCTTTAACATCTTTATCAATGACTGGATGAAGGTGTGGAAAGCACAGTGATTAAGTTTGCAAATGACACCAAGCTGTGGGGGAATGCAGACACGTCTGAGGATAGGGCAAGGATCCAGGCAGACCTCGACAGACTGGTTCTATGGGCTGAACACAATCAGATGAGGTTCAATAGGGACAGGTGCCAGGTCCTTCATCTGGGTAGGAAGAACTTTCAGCACAACTATACAATGGGCGGTGATCCATTGGCTGGCACTGCATCTGAAAGTGACCTGGGGATGGCAATCAACCAGAAGATAAATATGAGCCAACAGTACGATGAAGCCACCAGCAAAGTAAACAGACCTCTGGCATGTATCAGCCAGCGTGTTGTAAACAGATCCAGAGAGGTTCTCCTCCTGCTCTGTTCAGCATTGGAGAGGCTGCAGCTGGAATACTGTGTTCAGTTCTGGGCACTGCACTTCAGGAAGGATGTGGATAAGCTCAAAAGGGTGCAGAGGAGGGCCACCTATATGATCAGGGGCCTGGAGGACAGGCCCTATGAGGAGAGACTCCTGGGTTTGTTCAGTCTGAGCAAGAGAAGACTGAGAGATGACTTGATAGCTGCCTACAAGTATGTCAAGGGTGAACCGCAAGTTCTAGAGGAGCAATTCTTCAGCAAGGCACACCCAGGGAGGACGAGGACCAACGGGCACAAGCTAACTGAGGAAAGATTTAAGCTGGACATTAGGAAAAACTTTTCCATCAGGGTATCTAGAATCTGGAACATGCTCCCAGCAGAGGTGGTACAGTCACCATCCTTGGACGTGTTCAAGAGGAGGCTGGACAAGCACCTCATTGAGCTTGCTTGAGCCCAATAACCTCCTGCCCATGGCAGGGGACCAGACTTCATGATCTTACAGGTTCCTTCCGGTCCTTTGATTCTATGGGTGCTTGTACACATGACAGGGGTTTAGTCCTCAGGGTTTTATTCTATGCCCCCTAAATTGAAACAGTGGGTTTTTAATTGAAACTCACTGTTTCAATTCTTCTGTCATGTTGCAGTGAGGGGGGCAATCTTTTTTTGTGGGGCAGGAAAGGCAGGGGGCTGGAGCCTGCTCAAAGCCAGGGGGTGAACTGCCAGTGGGCTGAGCAGCCCCTGAGCTGTGGGGGGGCCCTGGCCCTTCCCTCCATGGCAATGGTACCCCCAGGCAGGTTGCTAGTGGGCTGGGTGCTGCCCCAGCTCAGAGGCACCACCCGGCCCTATCCAAGTCTTCCCCGACCTCAAGCTGGGGCAGCACCTGGCCTGCTAGCAGCCCGGTTGGGCAGCCTCAGGGGGTGCTGCTACCACAGAGGGAAGGACTGGGGCCCCCTGCAGCTCAGTGGCTGCTTGGCCTGCCAGCAGCTGTCCAGGTGCAGCCCCAGCTCAGAGGTGCCCAATCCAATGTTTCCCCGAGCCCACCTGGACTTCCAGTGCCCCATGCACTGTCCTCGCCACCTTCTCTGGCCACCAGCAAACCCAGCTGCCCTCCTGCTGCCTTCCCATGCTGCCCCAGAAGTAAGCCAGCCCATTCCCAGGTGGTCCCAGGCATTCTGGCAGCCACAGGAGCCTGCTGAAAGCAGAAGCGGCGGGGGGCCCAATCTTTTTTTTTCTGCAGAATCTGCCTGGCACTCCCATGGCGGGTGGAGGGAGAGGGGGGCTAGCTGACAGCTGTATCATTGCAATTTGCAACATTGTAAACTAAACTACATTGGGATGTAGTTTAGTTTGCAATGATGCAAACTCATTTACACCCCCCAAAACTCTTACACGTGTACAGTGTGATGCCGTTAAGCCACACAAAGTGACGTTTTCATTACGTGTACATGGTAATGGCCTCACATGTACAAGTGCTCTAACTGACTTCTCCAAGGTCACACAGCCTGGCTCATAGATCTCTTCTCTGACCTTGAGGCACCACTATCTCTTGAATAGGAAGATGATGATGAAAAGAGAAGAGAAAACAAAATGAGAAAGAGGCCTTGAAAACAATTTGTATCAGGAGAATCACAGATAAATGCCCTGGGTTTTTCACTTTGTTATTCTTTCCTTATGAATGTGTTCATGAACAGTAGTTCTATACACTCCAGGAGGACAATCACCTTAATGGGAAGTTACCAACCTCCTCTTTGCATGGGTAAAATAAAATATTTGTCTTCCTAATTTAGTTGCACTGAAGTAATCAGGACCTAAAAATGACTGTTGAAGACTGATGCTTAGAGTGACAGAAAATAAACCCATTGAGCATATACTTGTGTCTGTGTGCACAGGAATCCCTGCACACATGAATGGAGACATGTGTTCATGAAACTATGTAGGTGCCTTTGTGCATGCGGGGGAGTGCATATGCAGATGTTTCAATATGCAGATGTTCCTCTGGTCTAAATTAGAACAAAAATAGAAGCAACTGCTTTAATCTTCGCTTAGGAATACTATGAACTTACCATTTTTTCCTTGGCATTTTCTGAAAAATGATGTGCTTTTAATTAAAGGCCAGTGTTGTAAGCTGTAAGTCGTTAGCATCCCAGATAAGATCCAAAACCATTTTCTTCAGGTTTTGCCCATTTGAGAGAATCAGAGCTATTTTTCTGAATTAATGCCGGTCATTAAAAACAGGATTTCATCCCAGAACAGCCATAAGGTAACACTGGAAATAGAAAGAATTAATGGAAACTTTATACAGCCGTTTGCCTCTTCATCAAAAGTGCAATATTTCCCTAAAAAGAACTGCATTCACTACTAGATTAAATTCTCCCTTTGTATTGTTCCCAAGTCTGATACCTTTTATCAAGCTTCGCTGGGTGTTTTCAGATCTCAAATTGTGGCTTCTATAATTGCAAGGCTTATTTGGTTGACGATGCAAGAACTTTCATAGAAGCTCCTGACTAGAGCTTTCTGCTGTCTGGCAATGCATGTGTGACACTGAAAATACATGTCAGGTCAACCAAACCCTGCAGTAAGTGTAAAGAATATATTTAGTATTGAGGAAAGCAATACCTGGCTCCAATTTATGTTCTCATTTTATTACTATGGCAGGTACCAAATAATCAGTGTAACTGAAAGTCATTCTCCAAATGACTGTGTTGTAATGGATGGGAACTCTTTTCCCTAGACTCATGAAGTTGGGGAAGGGCATTTGTAAGTACATAGCATCTGGCCTCTACTGGTTCCTCTTTCTAGAACAACGCAACTCCCAGGGGATAGAGTACATCTTAGGAGTGAATTTTGTCCAAGCTTCATAAAAGAGGAAGGTTGGTCTCTGTGGTTACAGCACCTGGCTAGTTTGCAGGAGATGTGAGTTCAGTCCTGGGCTCTGCCAGGCTCCCTTGGGCAAGTCTCTTAAAATTCTTGTGATTTGTTTTCCCCATCCATGAAAGGGGGTAGGAGTGTATCCTTTCTCCTGCTCAATGTTCATCTTGTCTGTGGAGATGGTCAGCTCTTTGGGCAAGGGTTTGCTTTTATTGCAGTCTGATCAGTGACTTGGTGATGAACATGGTGCTGTGACTTCAGCTGTAGCCTCTCAGTAATTTAGATCACTCACAGGTAGGTTTTTCTTTAATGGCTCCATACAGAATCCATTGGACTTTTATAAACCAGAATTTCCAGAGCAAATCAAGAGCTCCTGGTTTGCTTAAGTTGTTTTAAAAGGACATAGTAAAATGAGGGTGGCAGTAGGGAAGAACTTTATTTCTGAGCGCTCCACACATCAGGAGGTTCTCTCTTCTGTGAAGCCATCACACAATTGCGAGGTGTGAAGACAGCTGAAGGAAGGTCCGGTGGTGTGAAGGTACCAAGCAACTCCAGTTACAGGCAGACTTAATCACTGAAACAGGAGCATTCATTTCCTCCTCCTTCCCATTCACATCCTTCCCCCATTCCTTGCCTTCCTGCTTTTTGTCTGTCTTCCTGGAATGCCCTCCTATTTCAGCAGGAAAAAAGTAAACACCCTTTTTTCATACAACTGCAGCTTTCAAACATACCACTCCTCCCCAAGCCAACCCCATCAACCCTCTATGAGAGGGTTTCCTCCCTTCCTCAAACCAACCTGATTCTGGTCAGCCAGGGCAGCCTGCCTCTGATCTGGTGCATCTCCTAATGTCAGCTAGGAGTTTCAGGGCCCAAGAATGTGCCTTACTCTATTTCAGCCAAGGTTGTTGAGTAATAATAGCATTCAGCTACTTCAGTGAATATATTATACCTGTAGCATATGAATGGTACAGGTTCAGCCCTTTGGCTTTGCATGATTCTTTGTATGGAGATGTCACAAAATCCTTCTGCGACATAAAAGCAATTGTTATTGCAACATGCCTGAGGAGCTGTCCTATTCTGTAGTGTCCTGCAGCTCCTTCCTTCCCGTGTCTTTGAAACTGCTACAGCCAGATTCTCTCCGAGTTTGACATGTGCATGATGTATCAGGATAGGCCCTGGGGCAGCTGTGGCACCCATTATGGCCATTTTAATCCTACACATATTCCTGGTCCTCTCTGTAACACCCCTGTTTCTCTCATCTGCCACGTCTTGATGTTTCTTTGTTATTAATTGGGAGGCTGCCCCCGAGTCCCACGGTACCCTCACTGGTACTTTGCCCAACCTGACTCATCTCTCATGATCACTAGACCCCCCTCTGCCCACTGGCCAAAACCATGCAGTTCTCATGGGTGTCTCTCACACTCTGGCAGACCTACTGGTACCTAGCTGGCACTGTGAGCCAGTGGTTACCATCTGTGGCCTGAATGGGTCTTAGGGCTCTTAATTGTGGCCTCCTCCTGCCCCCATTGTCATGCCCATGCCCATGCCCATGCCCATGCCCCACAGGTGATACTCCATCTACAACTTAGTTCTTTTGTAGAGGCCTCATCCCTCCGGGCTTTACTGCCCGCCCCCCCCCCCCCCCCCGCTTTTCCCCCCCCCCCCCCCCCGCTTTTCCCCCCCCCCCCCCCCCGCTTTTCCCCCCCCCCCCCCCCCGCTTTTCCCCCCCCCCCCCCCCCGCTTTTCCCCCCCCCCCCCCCCCGCTTTTCCCCCCCCCCCCCCCCCGCTTTTCCCCCCCCCCCCCCCCCGCTTTTCCCCCCCCCCCCCCCCCGCTTTTCCCCCCCCCCCCCCCCCGCTTTTCCCCCCCCCCCCCCCCCGCTTTTCCCCCCCCCCCCCCCCCGCTTTTCCCCCCCCCCCCCCCCCGCTTTTCCCCCCCCCCCCCCCCCGCTTTTCCCCCCCCCCCCCCCCCTCCAGCTGTAGGGTTTCAGCCCTGGCTCACCTATTCAGGCCCAGCTATCCCAGCCTCAGCCCTCTCTGGGGATCTGGTCTGTGGGCCCTTCAGCCCCATATTACTGCTTGTCTCAGTCCCTTTGCAGTCCCTAACCCAGGGCAAGGCTGATCATGGCTCAGCCCAGCATACGCCGCCCCTACAATGTCCCTGATCTAGGGCAAGGCTGCTTTTGGT